TAACCATTCAGTATTTCCTTTTTAGGTTTTAAAATTAGTCCATTTTTATGTGATGGCTTATGATGTTACGCACTGTATCATATTTTTTTTTATTAATAAATTATTGCCTTTATTACACATTATATATAATATGATGATATCATGTCGATCATTTTATGAATATCGAATATCATGAAACACTAAGCAAGCATAGTCTTTTTTAAATTTCTGTTTATTGTACGTAAATTTCAAGATCAATTTTCCTGATCCTAATGACTGGTGTTGTGAATTATATTTCTTTTATTTATTCTTTGAGTGAGATTCAGAGGAAGACATAAATAGAACGTTTAAAAAGGACAACGGATCATTTTTCTAAAACGTTATCTCTTTACATTTGACAACTTTTATTTTGAAGCTCTGCTAATCGTTATTATATGTTTTCATCTCTTGTAAACCGATTTTAACTATAAATGTCCTTACTATTTTGCATAAGTGAATCGAGCAGGCGAATGGATAGATGATTGTGTGGAGGAAGTCGATAATTTTGTTAAGGTGCGTTCCTGGAGACGATGGCGAGCGGTTAAGATACACATGTTCATGCTGCAAGATTACTACCCGATTAAAATTAAATTATTCGAACACTCTATATACTAAAAGCCCTTGCGATATTTGGTAAAACCATTGACGATGCAATTTCTTGTTAAAATTAATTCTTCAAGAAAAATAAATTTTGAAAATTTTAAGTTAACCCCATTTACAATACCCTGAATATGAATTGGGATGAAATTAACCAATCAAATTCTTTATAAATCAAAATGCATTTTTATTATTATTATTTTATTAATAAAAAATGGAACCAGAACACAACGTGGAAGAAGAATCAACAACATCTATATCAACTACAACACCACCTCATTCACCACCTCATCCACAACCTTTGTTGCCTTATCCACACTTTACCAATCATACTCCAATATTATTTCAACATTCACCAATATTTGGTAATTTACAGCTTATTCGTAGTAATCCTCAATTAACTAATTCGATCGTCGAAAATGATGCAAGTAGTTCAAATAGTACCGACTATAATAATAGAAATGATAGAGGTCACACTTCTCCAGCATTTACCTCGACTGCTACTCCTACTTCTACTACAAATGTTCTTTCAAAAATGATTGATAGTGAACAACAAGAAAGATGTCAAAGTGCTGCTAATGCTCTTCAACAATATTCTTTATTTGCAATGCATGTAATACCTAGTGGAGAGGTAATTTAATCTATTTGTTCGTTTGTATGTTTTGCTTGTTTATTCATTTATTTTATTAACACATCAACTTATATATAGTCTCCCGCAAAAACAAGAATACGAATGTTACGGTATTTATTATGATTATTATTATTATTATTACAATCATTTTATTAAAAAAAGAGCCGATTAATTATTTTCTTTTAAATATTATAATTGTCTAGTTACTTGGCAGATCTTCCACAACATAACCAGAAAAAGAAACCTAAACATAAAAAGGCTTCAACTAAACCGCTCAAATCAATATTAAAAAACATGAATAATAATGATAATATGATGAGTGATTAACGTTAATCATCATCACATTTTAATTAGACAATTAGTTGTACATTTAAAGGGTTATTAGTGTCATTAATACACATTTACATATTTTAAATATCATCTTATTTATAATAAAAAAAATTAAATAACAATGATATTTATTATCATTATAATCACGAATTAATGGGTCGAGGAAAACTTGTGTAATTAAATGGCCTACTTGCATAAATGCCATTTGAATGAAAAGTTTTTTGATGGATCTTAATTGTACCAAATTTATTTTACAGAGTATTTATAATATCAAATTTAAAAGCCTCCAATTTTCATATCATAAGGTTCTCGAGCAGTTGGTTGTTCCTCAAGATCATTCAATATAAAACCTGGGTCTTTTTGAAAATCCAGGCACAAATTGTCACAGCAAGATCTGTGTCATATCATATTCTCATAATAGTTATTGGCCTGTTTACATCTCTGTCATTAATACTCCAAAACTACATATATCAGATTTTAGTGAATAAGAACTTTGTTTTCTTAATACTTCAGGTGCCACATATGATAAGACACTAATCACTATCGGTGATGGTATGTGATCGGCGGATTTGGTAAACCTAAATCTTCAAGGATTTGAAGAATTTGAAAAATCAAATTTAAAATAATCTGTAAAATTAATTTTATGTATACATATTAATTGTTGATATTTTTTTTTTGATGTTAGGATTTATATTTTTTAATACTTGAGAATAAAATAAATGATAATTAAAATATCGTCCAATTAAATTGATAGAATTCATTAGATGAAAGTGAAAAAGACTCAAAAGAAGGATTTGAAAATAATTGACTTGATGTTGAATTTGTTGTAGACGAATTTGTGAAGAATATGATATTGTAATAAACATTGAAATTAATCTTACACAAATCTCCCTCCTTAATACTAGCGAACCATGCTCACCTTCAAGCTTTGCTAATTGTATTTATATGTTTAAAATAAATGATCGATTTGTAGGAATTTGAGTTCGTTTGTGGTTGAAATTTCTGACCATTATTACAGTTTTGATTTTCTTTATTTTTTTAATAACTCGATCAATATTAAACTCATAGAGATAAAAAAACAACCATTTAGAGTTATCACTCTACTTGTTTTGAATATGCTTGTTAACAAATT